GAATTTGACATAAGATGACATACTTTCCATAAAGTTAGAAAAAATGGCATTAAAAATGCCCCTGTAAATCACTTTAAGGAGTCAAATATTACCTCGTAATGGGAAGGCTAATTTTTGTTATTGATCAGAAGGTGCTCCTGAATTTTCTGACTGCGCTCCTAAATTTTTTAAATTAAGAGCGCAAATGCTCCTAAAAATAAAAGTAAGCATAGAGCCCTGTTCTCTGAGCAACAGCGGTGTTTAGTTTCTGAATGAATCCGCGTTTTGAACAAATCGAATTAATTAATTTTAATGAGTTAATGAGTTTTAGTTTCTTATTTAGAGTATAATTTCGGTAAAGAATAAAAAAAAAAAAATAGCAAGGGATAGTTCACCCCAAAATTAAATTTTGTCATCATTTACTCACCCTCATGTAGTTTCAAACCTGTATAACTTACTTTCTTTTGTGGAACATAGAAGCTATTTTGAAGACGGTTGGTAACAAAGCTGATTTGGTTAGGCTACCATGACTTTCATTGCGTGAACAAAAAAATACTGAGATTTTTCTTAAATCACCTTCTTTTATGTTCCATAGTTTATGTTAGGCTGTTGTAGCCTACATGTTTATGTGTAATAAATTTTATGTTGAATCAAATCAAATATTTATTTCTAAAGCTACTATTTAATGTTTACTTGATACTTTTCTCATTTAACACAATAATAGCTTAAAATGATCTTTTGTGGGTATTTTCAAAGCCAAATTTAGTTTGCGATTAATTAAATTAATCGCCACATCATGTAATTAATTAGATTGCTCGTCCCACATTTTGAAAACCTCTAGATTAAGCATTTATATCTGCATTTGTGTACTTGTGACCAGTATGTTTCTGGTATAAGATACTATATATACATTTACATTTATCTGATGCTATTCAGAGTAGCTTACAAAACAGTGTAAGATTAAGCACAATGTGGTGCTTAAGTGATCTGCTGGAGAGCCAGGTAAAGCGGGGATTTGGAGGGGCATGAGGTTGCTACTATAGGGAAACTGGACAAAGTTTGGACCATTTGTGAAGATTTATTATCACAATTTCATCAAATTTAGTGCTACAGGATATTGTGCTTATGTAAATTTTCTTGTCAGCCACCAGCAGCTGATGTGCTGTATATTACACACCATTAGCTTTTGAGAATCACAGAAGTGAAAGAAAACAATGATTTCTCTCTCCCTGGAGACGATGAAGGCCTCCTAGGCTATATTCATGTTTTGATGCATTAAAACATCTGGCTTTTAATGCGTTCATTTTAGTTTGTTCATCATGGGTCACAGTCTGTTCCATTGTATCAAATATAACAAGTATCACTGTGTACCGTGGCCAGCCTACTGATGAATACAGGTTGATGTCATAAAGCCATGTGTTTTAAATCAGCAGCTTTTAATAATGACATATGTGTGCTCACTTATTACTTTAGCATTTCACAATAATGTATTTTCCCAACAGGCTGTATTTTCTTATGAATATATATATATATATATATAAGTTTTTGTGCCCACAATCCCATCCATGTCATTTTAAATTAAGTATCTGCCAATACTGTGTGCTGATCAGATATCTGTATTTTCCTAGTGTTTTAAGTTATCAAGTTCAATCCAGTGTATATGCTTGACAAAAAGCTCTGCAATCCATTGGGAAATAAAATACCGTAAAAATGTTGTTCCTTATCGGTTTTGTTTGTTTATTTATTTATTTATTTTAAAAAAGTGCTAGGCCGAGGGACTGAGAGTGTGCAGGTTTGCAGATGCTACTGACATTACATCAAGTATAATTTGATTTGTATCCACATCTTTATTTGTTTGATTCATTTTTACATTCATTTACAGTATTTTTGCTCTGTTCAGCGAGTTGGAAGACTTACCGTAATGATTCTTGAAAATGTGCACCTTAAAATGTATTTAGTCATTTATTAGATGCTTTTATCCAAAGCAATTACAAATGAGGACAACAGAAGCAATCAATTGTAGTATTAAAACAACTAAAAACAGATAGCTCAAACACACTGAAATGTTTGCATTAAATTGTAGTTAGTATGTTAATCAAGCATTCTTCCCATCAGTGACCACTCCTGTTGAGTTGAGTTGGTTTTTCCTGTCAGTCTGAGTCTGTTCTAACAGGCAGCAGAAATGGCCTGTGGCTCTTTCAATGTTCTTGTGGCCTAGAGACGTCGGGATCTCTCTCTCACACTCTTTTACTCTGGCCATATAGTGCCCTGCAGCGGATCTGATAAGCCAGTAGATCGTTACCCACGCTGGTGGCAGCAGTTGAAAGCCCTGATCCACAGTCAGCCAGAGGGCTGGGAGGCTCACACAAAAATCCTGCTCATGCCACATCAAAACATGCTTCCCAAAATACATGAGAAGAAAGACGCCGCTTCAGGAATGACCAGCGGCCATCGTGACGAAAGTTTCAGCTGCACTTTGTGTTTGTGTAAGTGTAGGTGTGTGCTTACTCCTCTCTTGTGTGTGCGAGTTTGACAACCTGAAGAGCCCGGGACACATGTTCTAACAGGCCACTAAAGAAAAATGTTGAACTTTTGATCCCAGAAATATTGAGGCACATTAAAAGCCTGAGGTTGCACTAGGTGAGGGAAGTTAATTCATGGTGCCTGCTACTGTAAGGAGTGGCAATCAAGATGACTCACAAATCACTCTTAAACTCATGAGTAATTGTTTTATATTGGTCCTCAAGGTACTGAAAGAAATGCAAATGTATGTAATAATACGTTCATTAAGTAGAATCAGAACTGGAACCATACAGTACACTCCATACGATTCCCATGTGTGTTGAAATACTAATAACAAAGTACACACACATAATGACATTTGAACAGTGTTCAAATGTCATTATGTGTGTGTACTTTGTTATCTTCCTCTACCTGCCGTTTCCTGTCCAGTATTATTCATCTGTGTCCTTCTGAACAGATGGGCTCTTTCATCAGTGTCTCACAGCACAATACATGTCGTTTTGTGTTTGCTCTGAATATTGGCAGATTCTTAACTGACTCTTTTAATGACTGATCTTAAAAACAAAAAAAAAGACTGGAGGTGTTTCTCTGTTGGTGTAGAGGAAACTCAAAACTGTAATTCAGACATTTCTATGCTTTGGAAATGGGTCATGTCATGAAAAACATTGACAACTTTTTCTCCAGTCAACCCAGACTGAAACAAAAAACACCAAAAGGGCTTAGAAATTATTATTATAGTTATGACATCACTGCATTGAGCTTGTTAACGTACGACCATCCACATTTACATATGTGTAATCAGTATTGAGCTTGACCTGTCCTGATGAATGTCATTGTGAACTACACCATCATTGCAGAAGCTTGTCAATCATTTACATGTAGAAGTCTTAATCAGCCTGTTTAATTTGAATGGTCAGAGAGAAAAACAAAATTAATTAGGCATAATTGTAATAAATTGTGTTTTTGGTGCAAGAAACCTTCATTAACATGGTCACACTTTATTTTAAGGTCCAATTCTCGCTATTAACAAACCATTAACTACGACCTTTGCCTTTGTTGCTTTTAATATGCTTTTAATACTTATATTTTTCAGACAAACTGGCTTATTCGTCTAAATTAGTCACACATGAATTTGTGAAGTTGCAAATGCTCACAACTGCCAATAATTCTCACTTTAGTGAACATGATATCAGGCTTTGAGGGCTGAGCAAGTGCTTGTTCTTTCATTAGAGCAGTGCGGTGTCATGATTCGTTGTGGCAAGGGGAGAACGAGTCTCAAACTTCACTTGAATAGAGTTTAATACTGAAAACGGCGGGTACATACAACTCAAGAGCAAAATCAAACAACTAGTAACAAAGTTGACCGGACAAGGAATGAAGGAACTAATATACATAGGATAATTGACAAAACAGGTGCATAGAATAATCAATCAACTCAGCAAGAACAGGAAAATTACCATAAAAGGAAACTCAGGAACAAGGACAGGGAAAAACAAGTCCACAACACTGACATGCGGTTTTGTGTGTACTACAATAAAAAAAGATCAGCCCTGAATTTAGGCAGGTTGGCCAATCTCCAATCATAGTATCAAGATGCCTATTGGCCGATAAAGATTGGTAGCCAGTAAATATGGATATCCTTAATAACTAGAAATGAAAAAAAATATGAACAAACATATTTGACTGTTATTTATTATATTTAGCAAGTCGGTACTTGTCATTGTTGTTTTTAGCTCAAGTTTTATGTAATGCTTAGTCATTTTCTCACTGTATTGTTGATTGATTAATAATACTAGACACACTAGACAGCAGCAGGTCTGTTCTTTCTTTTGAATGGAAATAAAACATGTCATGAAAAACATTGACAACTTTTTCTCCAGTCAACCCAGACTGAAACAAAAAACACCAAAAGGGCTTAGAAATTATTATTATAGTTATGACATCACTGCATTGAGCTTGTTAACGTACGACCATCCACATTTACATATGTGTAATCAGTATTGAGCTTGACCTGTCCTGATGAATGTCATTGTGAACTACACCATCATTGCAGAAGCTTGTCAATCATTTACATGTAGAAGTCTTAATCAGCCTGTTTAATTTGAATGGTCAGAGAGAAAAACAAAATTAATTAGGCATAATTGTAATAAATTGTGTTTTTGGTGCAAGAAACCTTCATTAACATGGTCACACTTTATTTTAAGGTCCAATTCTCGCTATTAACAAACCATTAACTACGACCTTTGCCTCAATAAACTCCTAATTTGCTGCTTATTAAAAGTTAGTAGGGTAGTTGTTAAGTTTAGGTATTGGGTAGGATTAGTGATGTAGAATGCAGAATGCAGAATATGTGCTTTATAAGTACTAATAAACAGTCAATATGTTAATAATAGGCATGCTAATAAGCAACTAGCTAATAGTGACAATTGGTCCCTATACTAAAGTGTTACCATTTGCATTATACATAGAATTTCATTTCATCTGTTCTTCATTTGTAGATTGAGGTGAGGACTAAAGTCTTGGAGGCCAAACATCAAGAGGATACACTGAGGATGCAGCAGAAACATGACGCAGAGATTCAGAAGGTGAATCAATTGACCTGTCAAATATTTTATAAGGGATTCTTCACCCAAAAAATTCTCTCATCATTTACGCACCCTCATGCAATGCTAGATGTATATGACTTGCTTTCTTCAGATGAACCCAAACAATGATTTTTGGAAAAATAGTCTCTGTGGGTCCATGTAATGCAAATGTACAGGTTTAAATGTTCAGGTTTATAGTTTAAAAGGTTAAAATGTTAGCCCACTTGCATTATATGGACAGAAATTGATTATTTATGTTTATAAAATATTCTTGGTTTTCATCTGAAAAAAGGAAGTAATTTTCATCTGGAACAGCGTGAGGGTGAGAGTGAGAGAATTTTGGTTTTTGGATGGAGTATCCCTTCAAGCTGAAATTCCACATCTTCTCCTTCAAACTATGTACAAACTAAAGTTTATATAATATGTAAAAAAGCCATGCAATTTTTAAATAACAAAATTATTAATTATATTAAACACAAGAAGATTAGAACCACAAACCAAGCTCAAAATTCCAAGTTCAGCCCAGTTTGCTGTTAATAGTGGAGAAAATGGAAGATGATGAGTTTATAATGACAAGTATACTGATGATACACAGATTGACTGCTCACATCTTGCAAGTTGGGTTCTGCAAACATCCCAGACGACTGTCTCACTCATTAAAATGTACTGTTTTAGTGATACTGATTTTATGTGCATGTGCTGTGTCAGTATCTCCTCTGTTACTTCCACATTTATTGTCTTTTTCATTCAGTCCCAGTGACATCACAACTTAATTCTGCTTTAATAAAGTCTATTAAATGGTCTAGGTCTACAGATGTTTATGTATCCCCACCCCTTTATAAGCAGAAACATGATTCTTGGCAGACCGTTGTCTTTCATGGCATCCCTAAAAGTCCAACGGCCTCTGGACCTCGTCCTCGACACTCTGTTATAACTCTGCTGTGTGTCTGAAAAGAGCTCTTTAAGGAGACGATGGGAAAATTGTGTGTGTCCCTAAATGTTCCACGAACTTCCCTTTAACCTCTCTAACGCCCCCTCTTTCCCTCACTCTCAGCTGCAAGCTTTCATCTTTCACAGGCGACCGGCTTGCAGGATGATGAGCTTAGCAACAGAGTGCACTTCTGACGGACAAAAAGCAGGATAAATAATCCACTGATGGGCTCGCTGACTTTTCAGAGGGAGAAAATAATAACTTTTGGGATGTATTTTTGGTTTGAATGAAGTTGCATCTGCGTTTGAAGGACCAGCTCTGAAATGGTCCTCTTGTCAGTGATGTCCATCCTCTCTTCACTAAACACTGCTGTATTAGGCCTCATGAGGGACCATCACCCCCAACCTCAGAGAGTACATCTGTAAATAGGAGCTCTTACTGCTGCCGAAGGCCTTTGAAGACTATTCTTGTTTAGTTTCTCCAATGGGTTTTGAACCTCAATAGCTTCCTCAATAGAATCTTTCATTAATTTGCCATTCTTTGCGATCAACGTTACATGAAATCTTAATTGGCTCATAAGACATTCTTTTGTTGGTGATTGTGTCTGCTTTGCTCTTAATGAGCACTGTTGTTTGGTTCTGAAAGACTCAGATGTGCTTGTTTGGAGAATGTCAATATTTGCTCAGGTGCATCTTTCTTTGAAGACCCTATAAACACCACACACACGCGGTTCAGTGGTGTCTGTTGGTGGGCTCGCTTGAGTCCAGGGGTGAGCGGGCCGGTGCGTGTGCCCTGTTATGTCCTCCGAGCCATTGATCTCCGTAGGGTCCTTTGAGATTTACAGACCCCTGGTTGCAACGCCGCTGTCCACCCTCACTGAGACAATCGCCGACAGCCTTTGAACTCCCACTCGGACACAGACGGCTTGTAGAAGGTCAGGCCATCAAAGGAGTTACAGCGGTCTCAACAAACGGCTCTCTGCTGTGCAGCGGCCGCATCAGATAAAACACATTTCTGAAATGCCCGCCCACCTCCCGCCCCACCTTGAGCCCAGGCATCTTATCGCCTACAGCTCAAGGCACAAGACTGGACCGCCGCTTGGGAACAAGCCCAGCAGATCTGCTGTTTATTTGGAGCTTGCTAAATGCAGGTTGCACTTGGCTCCCTCCCGCCACGAAGGATTTCTAAATTCCTTGGGTTCATCAAATGCCTGCACTGTGTGGCACAATGGGCGGATTGTCAAGGACTCGCAGAACCGGTCCATTGGAGTCTGGGAGCCCACCGCCGAGGTCTTTGAGAGATGAGGGACAAGGGCATGAGTGAGTTCCTCAAAGCTGTGGCTCAAGTCCTCTCAGATACGGGCAACACTCATTCATGCTTCCGAGAGTCTGGAATGTTAACACTCAACATGCTCCTGAGACACGTAACACTGTTTTCACTGAAGAGATTGCTCCATTTCCTTTTATCCATATTCCTTTTTTTATTTCCATTTATAATGCAAAATCTTTCACAAAATATAATTCCATCAGAAAACTTCAATGAGCGATTTTTGAAAATCTAGTTTTATCTATTTATTTGGTATCTTTTGCTATTAAACATGCTTTTGTGAGAAGTGGTGGAGATTTCGATTCAGTCAAGAGATTGAACCAAAAGATTAGGGCTGGGCAATATAGCTAAAAAATGTATCAACGATATAATGTTTCATATCATTCGGTATCGATAATTATTGACATTTTTTATAACCTTTTTTTAAAACAAAAAGCAATAGAATTTTTTTTTTCATTTAACCACTGTATTTATAATTAACACAATTTATTGAGACAAACAACAAATATTTTTTGTTTTAACAATCAAACACAATAAAAAACAAATATCTAATTTCTAATGTTTTATATGCAGATTAAATAGGTCTTTATTGTATAGGTCTAACTGTCTCCCGAGGCCACAGGAGGGCGCAATGAGCAAAATAATGCAGCGCATTTAGCAAGAAACTCTATAAAAACGTGCATTGTCTAAATTAACTCATAAAAATCAAATATAATTTCGTAAATTGCATAAACAATTATGAACAAAACAGAATCATGTATTTATGCATTGCTTAATCCAAAGAGCCGAAGCGCAATTCACACAGACTGCATTTCAAAACATATGAAACGGAGTGAAAAGGAATAAGCCTCCACAAATTCGTGACGTGTTTTCTAAAAGTTTAAACTGTTTTAACTTTGCATGGCTTTCTATACATCTCTTGTGTGAGACGCGAGTGCAGCAGTCATATTTGTCCGTCTAAAAAATGCACTGAATATGCATTCTGTGTGAATGGCTTGGTTTCGGTTTTAACCCATTCAAGATCTTCTCCGCATTGAGCTTCTATATTTCTCTAATATTTTGAATGAATAACGCAGCAGCTCGTGGGTTAGACTAACAAAACATTAAAATGCAACAATGTAATGTACATCATCACGGCATCTCGAACGCCACTGATGACGCTCCCTGATTCACACCTAACATTCAAATGCAAATGTTTATTTTAAATTCGACTAATATTCATTCTTTATTCACAATCTCCTCATCACAGGCAGGCACAGCACTCATTTCAGCATGTGTTCGTGTTTATGTGTGCTGTCTGCGTCACTCATACTACGTACTATATCGTGTGCTATATCGAAAAAATTTTCTATCGATATCGAAGAAGGTGTACCGTCGATAAATACCGATACCGTTTTATCGCCCAGGCCTACAAAAGATTCATTCAGATACTGTCGATTACATCATTTAACCAGTAGATTGTGACAAATTAGTTTGTTTTTTTTGTGTATTATGAGTGAGTCATTGAATTATTCACTTAGTATATTCGTTCAGAATCATTCACAACAGAAACAGTCTTGTAAATTATTAGAATTTTACAAAGAGACTCTGTGAACAGTGATTAAGCAACAGAAGTGGTTCCCAAACCTTCCCCAACACTGCATTTTTTGAATGTCTCATTTGTTTGATACACCCTGTTAAGGGATCAGTATACTCACTCAAAGTTCTTTTTCGTTCTGGGGTAAAAGTACATTCATTAGCAAACATCCCGATGCCAAAATTTTCGACCTCCCAAAGCAAACTTTGTTTTGGGTTGTTTTTGTATGATATAATGTAACTTCAGTTTGTTCTTTGATTTTGCTTGAAGTATACCTTTATTACCTTTAAGGTATTGTAGTCCCTGCCAATGAGCTGATGAATTGGGTGTGTTTGATAAGGGAGACATAGCCTACATGATGTGCGCTGTTGTGGGGTGGTAGGGGCCACTTGCCTAATTAAATGTATCATTACTTCCAGTAACATCCTTATTTAATTGCATATAGTCATAAGTCATTTTTACACATTCATAAAATGTAATATTTCTTATGCTGAACGAACCAGTGCTAGAGGTCTGCACGGGCTTTAAAGTGAAGCCGGAACCCGGCCCGTACCCAAGATCGTCTGACCCGACCCGAGCAGCACAGTTAAATTTAGAGCCCGAACCTGACCCGAACCCGAAATCTTTTTTTTTTTCCCACAACGAATAGCCAATTTTAAAAAATGCTGTATTTCACGATTGCATGCAACGGTCAGTAAACAAATACATGTAAAGTAAGAGAATCATTAAGACTCTGCCAGTTCACAAGGCAAAAGAAAAAACACTTAGCCTACCAGTTATGAAAGTTTATGAACATCAGGTGCAGCGGTCACATAAATTCTGCTGAGTTTTTGAATGGTTGTATCTGACAAGACGATAATTCTTCCATCGTGCAAATTATGGTAATTTTCGTCAGTTAAGGCTCATTAGCATTCGGCCTGCTTTAAATCAGACACAGAGATGCAGTGCGGTAAGATCGCATTTATTTGAATTAATTAATTATATAATTTATTTGAATTAGCGCGCGCGCGAGAGAGAGAGAGAGAGAGAGAGAGAGAGATGAAAGTTGCGTGTGTGAACCTCTCTCTACAAGCAATGGGGCTTAGTTCCTTCAAAAACAGCGATTTTACCCCCTCATTGCAGAGAAATATAACGTTGCGAGTCAGTAGCCTGTCGAAGCTATTTTACTAATAAAAGTTTCCGTACTGTGTTGTCGTGTACAATAATGTGTGTGTGTGTGCGTCTATGAAAGCAGCATAGCCTGTATATAGTTTTCGTTTAGCTATAAACCCGAGCCCGACCCGAACCCGAAGCTATTCATTAAACATTAACCCGACCCGAAACCCGAAAGTTTTTCGGGACCCGTCGGACTCGGGTCGGGTAGCAGACCTCTAGTTGTGAGTCGGCGCGGATGAATCTAATGTTCTGAAGAGTATGTGTGGCAGTCAGTCACCGCACCGGTGTGCATATTTACTGTACTTCGCAATCACAGATTCTAGCCTACGTCTTGGAATATATGACCCAAATAAGAATATTCACCGGATATTGCCATCTGAACAAGTAACAAGTCTGCCACGTTTGTTCTGACCAACTGAGGAAAACAGCATTACTATAAATCTCACTACCAATGGTGATTTAATCTAAAGATTGGTTAGCTCATATCACATCAAACCCCAGTGCCCCCTTTTCTTTCAGTCATTGTCAGTCATCGGATCCCTATTCACAAATGAAATACCTTGTTCATTCATAGGGTTGGGTATCGTTTGGTTTTTTTTCGATACCGGTGCCAAATCGATACTTTTAAAACGGTTCCGAGCAAGTGTAATTACTGCATTCACACGCTCCTCAAATGCGGTTCTAGTACATACCGGTTACATAGGTACCGGTGCCAAATTGGTACCGGGTTTCGGTACCCAACCCTATTCATTCAGTACATTCACAAATGACATGTTCCAGTTTGTTTAGGTTGATCGTGAGCAAGTGGAAGTTCATTCAGCCCTGCTCCAAGTCGTTCAGACTCAAAACATAGACTTGTTCAGTGAAGGGCATATACATTCAGCAGGTCCAACAATTGATATGCTGTTTATATGCTAATGTATGGTAATAATATGCTGTTTGCTCATGCTATAGTCAGTCTTTGAAAGCAGGGAGAAGCAGTCAAGCCCATCAAAAGAGAGACTTCAGTGTGTGAAAAATATGTCAGTGCACGGAAGTGAATGATTTGTTTTGTTCATGACCAAAACACTACTTCTTGTCAGTGGGGTCATGGGTACGTCTCCTGTAGTGGTCTTCCTTCCCAGAGCATAATGTGAGATTCATACGGGTTTGTCATCCTCTGCTTTAAGCTTACGCTACTGTTACAGATAATATACTTATGAAAAAAGCCTTCACTGAAGAAAGGGCCAAAAATCTTGCCCACCACCCCCAAACCCCCATCCGCTAAACGTTGGCTTCAAAGCAGCAAATTCCAGCATTCAGTGACGCAGGAGAGGGCGAGTTCCTTCATGGTCATGCTTGTGAATAAGAACATTATCCTCTGTAATCTGCAGCCAGCATTAGCTTGTCATATGGAAGCACCACAAACCTCTATTTAAACTCTGTTCCCACTGAAATTTATTTATGGCTCTAGATTAGCTGGAAAGTCTGGAACATAAACGTTCTGTCATCCGTCGTCTCAGTGTCATGAATGCTTCTTGTTTCTAGAGTTGTTTGCTAATGCAAGCATCACTATTACCATTGCTCACGCTTAGGGTTAGTGATCTGAACAAACGTCTAAAAGCCGTGACACACCAAACCGACATCAAAGAACTAGCGATGACGAAAGCCAGTGGTGTTGACGCATCATGTTGCCTGGCATCTGGGTCAAAAAGTTGCGCTAGAAAACAGCGTAAAGACTGCAGCCAACGGCCAACGGCCAACTGGCACATACGTTTTGTGCCTGCATGAGGGGAAATAACTTTCCATGCCAGCAGGTGGCAGTAGTCTGTATTCATATTCAAAAAGAGAAACTGGGACTGTGGGTATACAATACTAACTGTATATGTACAGTGTGGTCCAACTAGTGCAGACACACCAGAACGCTGTGCTTACAGATGATCGACGATGTTCTGGTGTGTCACAGCCTCAACAAGCCCTAAGCTTTAAACTTGGGAACTCATCATGCATTTGTGACATGATACCTGTTGTGTTTGTTTAATTGCTAAATTTACATCTGGTAGATGATAAAACAGGCAAAAATCCTACAGAATTATATTGAAGAAGGGAACTGAGCCATATCTAGATATCACCTAGAGTACACTAGTAACCACATACTGTAGCAGTCTAACAGTCTACTTTGGTTTGCTTAGTTGGGGACGCATGACTGATTGCACAGACACTATTGGAGGAGAGCTGAACTGGATGATGACATCACTGAATCATCAATGAATTGACTTTAACTGGAAAATGACTCTTTGTTATTGTCCTCTTACATTATTGACCAACTATTTTCCTGCTTGACACTGTAAAGCTGCTTTGACACAAACTATTGTATAAAGCACTATATACATAAAGGTGACTTGACTTAACAACTGCTCCATCCACACACAATGCCAGTCACATTTTCTTCAGGAAATGTACAAAACGTGGTTTGTGTTTATTTCCTCAGATTTTGGACCGCAAGAATGGCGAGATTGACGAGCTGAAGTGCATGTATCGTGGGAAGCAGAAGGAGGGGGAGGAGACGATTCGGAGGCTGGAGAAGAGAGGTGAGGGTAGAACATGCAGTGGGTCGTGTTTATACACTCGCTCTGAGCACTCTGTCAGTGGTAAGGTGTTGCTCAGTGCACCCCAGCTGGAAACCTCTCCTTCAGCCCCAAAACGGCTCTAAAAACTTGGCTTTGAGGAACCAACAAAAGCTGCACCTTGTAAACAGACGTGTAGTAAAGCATGGACCACACTCACAAACTCTTTTTCTTACGATTCAGTAAAAGCAGCATCTGTGATTTGATGTCTTGTTATGGCCTTTCTACGTATTTCTCAAAAGTCAGTGGCAGGTGCTTATTAGATCCAGGTTACTCAAGAGGGTGTTAGTCTTCATTTTTTTTGGCCTTTGACCTAGTTTAAATAAGCCCCCAAAATCATAAAACACGCTTTTCATTTACATGGAATGTAATTTTAACTGACAAAATGCTAATTATTTATTGAGAGAACTCTTCAGTCAAATTAATCTTTATTGATGATGACGTTAATGAAAAATAAAGTGAATGTGGAATGTGTCAGGCATAGCTTTGTGCATCTTACGGTTTTTTTATTTTATTTATAATAAAAAATGATTTATTATTATTATTTTTTATTTTATTTATATGTATTTAAAACTTCTAAACTTTTCAACATAACCTTTACTGGCTTTCTGCTGTAATACACTTCACCTTAACTTGTAACACAAAGATATTGTATCATTTCTTGTTTTCGTGCCCATTGTTGTGTATTATTGTTTTATTTATTTAGTTATTTTTTGAGTCAAGAAGTATGGTGCCGTCCGGGGCAGCCTGGAGTGCGAGCAGACAGAGAGATGCCCTGCGGCCAGGCCTGAATGTTTGTGTCTGCCTCCCTCTCTCCCCTGTAGTTCAAAGCCTGCTGCGAGAGTCCCAGGTCATCCGACAGACCAGAGAGAAACAGATCAGCGAGCTGAAAAAAATGTCTGATCAAAGTGCCGAGTCTTTGAAAAACGAATGGGAGAAGAAGGTAAGGAAGGGTTGAAAAGGCTCAGGTTTCCACAGGCCCGTCCCTCCAGCAGCCGGAGCTGTGAACGCTGAACACTCACTGAGTTTAGAGCTCAGCCAATCCCGTCAGAGTATGAGAAAGAATCCCAAAAATCCATCTTCTCTGAGTGTTCAGTAGATGTGTATGTTTATTGCAGAGATAGAAAAGAAAAGCTCAAGGTTTTCCCAGAGAATCCGGCCCTGCCTTTCTACAGGCTTTTGGTTGAAGGGTATCTTGCTTCAGGCCTTATAAAACATTCTCTTTGTTCTCTGTTTCTAAACATAATATTCTGTAGGACTCATGTTCAGGGCTCAACAATAAGGATGGCCAGATGGTAGTGTGGGATCATAGATCATCTGTTTTTATGTCTTGCAAACTTAAGTAATCTTCTTCCAGTGAAAGCATTTTATAGGAAAAATTACAAAAATTGGAAAGGAGTGAAAGAGTCTGATACATCCTGTATTTTGTGTGTGTTTGTTCTGGTATGGATATACAGCATTCATTTTGTTTGTTCAGGTCTTCAAAAAAAAAGTATTTAAAAGCATTACATTCTTATATTTATGATTCAGTTTTAATCCAAATGATGCGTGCTAAGTGAGCGAACATCAATAAAGATCACACCACGGAAGTGCGCGCGCTCTTTCTCTCTCTCTCCCTCCCTCCCTACCAACCATTAAGTAACTTGTGCATTGTTTTACTTACTTCTTTTTGACATATCCGACCGAACTACAAACTTTCCAGTGATGTCTGTGAGAAAGGTATATTTAATACTGAATGTTTTATATTTATTGCATACATATACTTCGTAGACATCTTTAATCTCAAATAACTCCATTCTGCTGTCTGTTGTCAGTGTTTTTTTGTCTGAATATGGCACTTATCACATGCTGTGTGGTATCGGCGTTTGGTATCGGGGCATTTTAACGAGTACGAGTACAGGAGCTTGGTATTGGTGCATCCCTAATGTAAATACATGTAAACATTTTCAAAATATATACTACATGTGTGTGTATTTATATATACATAATAAATATACACAGTACACAGATATATTATGTAAATAAAAACTTTTATTTTGGATGCGATTAATCGCGATAACGAGTACGAGTACGAGTACAGGAGCTTGGTATTGGTGCATCCCTAATGTAAATACATGTAAATATTTTCAAAATATATACTATATGTGTGTGTATTTATATATACATAATAAATATACACAGTACACAGATATATTATGTAAATAAAAACTTTTATTTTGAATGCGATTAATCGCGATTAATTTTGACAGCACTAATTATAAATGTTACAATTTCAGAGTCTTGAAGAGTTTATTTTTATATTTTATTGATCTATGTTGTATGGTTCGTTTATCGTCTCTATCAGTTGCATGCTGCTGTGGCGGAGATGGAACAAGAAAAGTTTGACATGCAGAAGAAGCACACAGACAACATCCAGGAGCTGCTGGAGGACACCAATCAACGGCTCGCCAGGATGGAGGCAGAGTACAGCAGCCAGATGCAGGCCACAGTGAGTGCATTCGAAATAAACATGAATGAACATCAGAACGTATTTGATTTAAACCACGGGAAGACATTAATACACACCATTTTCAAGTTTAAGTCCACCAAAGTTAATCTACTCTCCTGTCTTATTTGTTTGTCGGACAAAATGGTGGATTCGGCATTATGATTGGTCAGATCGCCTGTCAATCAAGCTCTCTGCGAAGGGTCAATTGAGGGTGCTCTTGCTTTTGTTTGATGGTGCTATAGCATCTCCGTATAACCAGGCCTGTGGAGCAACAGTTTGAACAGTAAGACTTGTTTACAGCTGCAGACCTGGGGTGCGTTTCCCAAAAGCATTGTTAGCTAACTATGGTCGTTAGTTCCATTGAACTCTATTGGTAACGACAGGACTTGGGGCCATAGTTGTTTTTGGGAAACGCACCCTTGGACAGCAACACATCTGGTTTGATGGCATATACATTTGAAGAAAACTCTATCGTCCCCTTGAGTACTGAGGTTTGTTGCTGTCAGCACCATAGGAACACGCACTTGTAACTTCCAACATCCGTTGGACAAGCATCTGTGTGCATTGTGTAGAGTACCATTCTTTGTTTGTGTCTTTTCTCCTCTTCTCTCATCTTACAAACTTTGTCTTGTGTGTGTGTGTGCATTCAGTGTGTGCCTGAAACAAAGCATGCCTTAGAGCCTTTGATTGAAGCCACCCCACTAGAGGGACCGAAGCGCTGCGGCGCTCTGAGATGAGCCGGGATGCGCGTCCCTCCGTGGCACAGGCCTAATGAGTTTTGCTTGTTACAAATTAGCATTCAGCGGCTGTCATACAGGTAAGGGCACACACTGAGACGGCCGGCCGCGGTCTGTCAGCAGGGCTGAATTTAAGAGACTTCAAATGCATTCCGACCCCACAGAGTAAGACCCTTCTTTAATAATTAAACACAGCACATTTCCAGGCAGGGCCCCAGATGAAAGGCCCTTCTGTCATTGGAAATTAGGTTCTCCCATTCTGTTGGTTTAGGCTGACCTCGCCAACCTCTCCACCCATAACCCCCCCTCCTCTTGTCTTACCTTTTCTCTCCTCATAGGCTGCTATTGTCAGTATGTCAGCTGAGGTGAGATGCTGTGTGTTGTTTCTACTTTGCGTTTGATGTCTCAATACTCCAGCCTTTGAAAGCCTTTGTTTATCTTTCGTTCTTTCATCATTCTTTTGTGCGGCATGCTCTGGTGCTATCCTGATTTCTCAAAAAAGCTCTTAAGTGGAGTCACACCATCCGCATTTCATATCTTCTGGACAGGCGAGATCGGAGCACCAACTGGTGCTTGTCAGTTTACCTGTGGCTTCTTGCGTGGGAGCGTGTCAAAAGTTGGCACAGCCGTTCTTCTGCTTATTATTCCTAACGTTCATTGGTGGCTTGATCGCCAAGTTTTGAAGCGCACAACGGTGGTGCCAATGTCAGTCCTCAATAGAGGAAGCAACACATTGAATATTGATGACAAGATACATATTAATCACATTCAGGGCTCAATGGAGATTGATGACTTCAAATGCATTGATGTCATAGCACAGACTCTACCTGAGAGACGTGAACATCAGCCAGTCTAAGTGATACTGAGTACATCCATTTGTCCAACTTCCATTTTTTCCAAAAAATCTAACTACACTCTTAAAAATAAAGGTTTTTATTGACATCTATGGGTCCATGAAGAACCTTTAACATCCAAGGAGCCATTCCATTGCACAAAATTGTCCATTGTTGTTGTTTCTTGAAAGTTTATTTTGGGAACCAAAAACAACCTTTTGGAACTTATATTTAAGGTCAACGAAACGTTGAACTTTAAGCATTAAAATAGCGGGGTGTTTAAAGCTTAGAGCTGGTCAACCATGAAATGAACCATGTGTCTCACCATTATGTCCTTTACCAAGACACTTAAACCCTGAATTTAATCAACATCGATCTAAATTAAGCTCGTTTTTGTCTTCTGTAGAGCAGTAGCTGAATCAAATTTGCTTCATAATTGATTAACTTTGCAACATTAACACTGTTATTTTCCTGTGTATTACTGAAAAGCTTTTTTATACAACCTCTATTGTATAAATTACTATATAAATAAATGTGATTTGACTTGACCCTGTCTACAATGGATGCTAGGGGCGCGACATGATGGGTCGCCAACAGTAAGCAGATGCCAAGTTCTACATCCAACATACTCATATCCAACTAACATGAAGGACAAATGGACAAACATTCACTCGGTAATAAGAGAATTGTAGACCTATTGTAGACAGTGTAAGATCTAGAAAATTTTTTTTGTAT